GATAACTGTGCTTATCCCGGAAGCCTTCTGTCTCCCGGCTAAACACCTGCAGTCTCCTAAGGGCCTCGCCTTCCGACCTGCGCTTGTCACTGTCCCACGGGAAGCAGGGTGCGCAGGCGTGCTCTGCCCGCCGTGTGCACTCACGCCGCAGCTTCTGAGCCCCACCTCTGTCCTTGTGCTGTTGGCTTTTGCTGCCCTGCTTTTTCTTTCAGCCCAACAGACTTCACATTTAAATTTAACCCGGAGAGTTTCATCTTCCCAGCTGTCAGTCTTCAGCCCTTGCTGTCCCTGCTCCCTGCTCAGCCTTTTTGGGATGAGCCTTCCACTCCATTTAGGTGCCCATCATCTGGATCTCCCCACCTCCCCCTACGTTTCTGCCACATCACAACTGGGTGACACTAACACGAGCTGTCGCCCACAGCATGGACCACGGGCGACACTCATCACAAGGGATGAGTGCCTGGTGGGGCCTTTCCCAGTGGGCCTGAGGTCTGCTGGAGCCCCGCTCCTGAAAAGACAAAAGTGTTCTTTCCCTTCAGCAAAGATCACTGCTCTCCCTCAGAATGTTCAGGAATCCCCCTCCCCCCGCCCCGCCCCACCAGTCTTTCAGCTGCCTTCTTTCAGGTGCCAGTTCAATTTTCATTTTGAAGAAGCCACCTTCGGCTCCCCGGAACAGTTGGGCATTCTCCTTGCAGCTCCGTGTTTCTGCTGACGCAGCACCATTATTCCTGTGTCTGTCCCTCCCACCTGAAAGCACTGCTTGTCGCGGTCAATGGAGTTGATAATTGCGTCTTCATCTTAGTTGTTTTCCCACTTCTGTGGAGAAGAACCATGCTTACCCCGAGAGCTTTCAGTCCCCAGCTGGAGTCCCTGGACAGGTGTTGAGAACCCCCTGAAGTGGTGTGAGGGTGTTGTGTATTAGTACGTTTTCTGAGGAAGGGATCTATGTTCCAAACGAGTTCTGACCCACTGTTTGATTCCCTCTCAGGAGACCGGCTCCCGAAATAAGCCCCTGAACCTCTCAGCAGGTCACGCACTTGGCATCACCAGGCTTGTTTCAGCCTCATTACCAACCCTGAGGACACGCAGTTGTTTCGGGTCATCTTAGGAAATCGCACCACAGACCATTTTAATAACGTGCACCTTTATAAATTTGGCTTTAGTTTGGAGGTAAATGGGGAGGTCTTGGTGAGAACTGAGTTTCTGGGAGCTGGGACTTCAGTTTTCATTTCTTAGTGTCCCTGCAGTCCGTTTTAGGCTTGGATTGGGTGACCTCTCAGGTCTGCCACATTGGCCACCAGGCATATATTTTACCTCTAGTTCTGAGGTGGGGGCTTGTTACCATTCAGCGACTGTTAGGACTGGGAAATGACCTTGGGTTCTGCAGTAGCTGGACCAATTTCAGATAGAAGGGGCTACTATTTTAGTCCAGAATAGCCTGGCCAAAACAAGTAACAAGTCTTTATAGCAGGTGATTACTATTTCAAGTTCCTAGGGGGAGTAAACAAGTTACAAAGTACTCTTGCAGCTTGGGCCTGTGATAGTGCATTGTGTTCGGGGAAACCTGATAGATTTTGGTCAGTCAAAGCCGGTTCCTGGCTGGAAGTTTGGAGAAAATCCCTAGACTGAGTATTTGTAAGGATGGAGAGTGGTGGTCAGGCCTTGTGCAGGGAGCCCTGCTTTTATCTGCCGAGGTCCATCCTTCCGGCGTCACTGTGTATCTCTGTATGTTCCTTTGCCTAGAGACTCATTTTGTAGCCTCCTGTTCATAATTCGAGCTCCTAATTCAGATGTAGAAGCAGGCGATGTACTTAGTGGGTACTGTTCAGGGGAACTGGGAGGCCAGTGCCTGAGAGGAGCGTGGGATGCGCTGGTGGGAGCTGCCAGGTCTGGGGCTGGCTCTGTGACCCCCTCACTCCTCAGAGCCCTTACCCTCGTGACGGGACTCCTGCTCCCCTCTGACCTCCCGGGACCTACGGCTGAAGGCCGCAGCCTAGCTTGACTGTGTTATGGTTAACCATCTGGGGAGTGTGGTACTGTTTTGAATCGGGCACATGTTTACCCACAGAGACCAGATCAACAGCTTTTGGAATGTGGCCAGTTCTGTTGAGTTCATGAACTGGTTGTGGGTTGTGATTTTTTTGCTCCCCAAAGGGCAGAGAAGGCTGTAATCTGGGCAGATGAAGAATTCGTTTGGTGGTGTCTGAAGGGGCGCAGATCATCTGGCTTGAGCTTTCTGGGGACCTGTGACTCCGTGTCTGCATGAACAGTTTGTCGAACTATAGCTAGTCTTGAATAGCTAGTAAAGTAATAACAGTATTTCCTTTCCTTCCTTCTAGTTTTTTTTTTTTTTTTTT